GAACTATTGATAGTTTCGAATGGCTATTTAGGAACGCAAATTGAGTCTGAATTTACACCATCTCTTTCCTCTTTTTCCTGACTCCAAATCTCCTTATCTCTGCCTTTTTTCCCACTAATTCGCCTTCTGCAGCCCCAGATGCATTGCAACTCTCCCATCGTCCTGGCAGCTTGCTGATGCCCGGCAGTGTGGTCCTTTGCATGGCTACTGGGGTCTCAAAGAACCTCACAATACACTGGAAATATGTGTCCGGTGAACGAATTAAGACGTCTGGAAACAAGCTTTACATCGGCCTGGCTCAATTGGATAAAGCTAGTAAGAATCCACCCTTGATCACCTACGAGTGCCGTGCCAAAAGAGATGACGAAAATCTGGTACGAAATGTGACCTACAAGCTGGCGCGTAAGAGTTTCTACATATACACACATAGTTTCATGCATTTCTTGTGAGTAACCAGATAACGCGAATACTATTATGTCTATTTGTGGGCTATGCAATTATAGAAGAGAAATGTCTGTAGCAAAATTAGGAAGTGATGCACGCTGATTAGTGACCATCTTCTTAAATTTAATTTCATCATCAAAACTTGTCTGCATATTATTTTAGTAAAACGGCCAACTGCTTTTTTATGAATCTGCTAGCATACCACTAGTCCATTAAATTTCTAATCATCACAACTAATCTAAGGTGATGAAGGAGGGAAAATGGTATTTCCCCACAATGCAATGCGTATGAATCACACTTCAATTGAAGTTCGCTTGAACCTTTCTGCCAAATGGTATTTTCATATTGGCTAGAGTGGACTGCAGTTTTGACATCGCCTCAACTGGTCTCATCAACACGCCCAGAGGGGCTTAAACCCAAGCTGCAAAATGAATACTTTCGACAGACTAGCACAACACCACAATGCTACAGACAAAAGTGTGCCTCAGGGAAGAAGTGACTTTTAAATCAAGCCAGGCTTCCTTGTTTATTGAATATATGAAGATCAAGATGTTGTGGCCTCTGGTATGATCGCAGTCTCCGTTCGATTTATAGAAGTGGGTTGACCTCATTGTCGCAACTTGGTCTTGTTGTCAGGGCGACTTAGTAGA